TAATGCTATAATGCTTGTAGTTACAGAAACAGAAGAAGAAGAAAATGGCAGTTGGGGCCTAGTTGCGACACGCAATGAGGGGATATATTGATATCGTCACAACTTACTTTGTTCATCTTACGTTTAACGTATAAAGCTTCATTCATATCTACAGACACCGTACGTGGCAGAAACGTAACAGCACAGACATAAAAATATTATTACATACATTTTCTATGGGCATATTTACATATACCAGCGTGAGCGAACCGTGTCCGCACAGACACAGGCCGGAACCGGCCGGCATTGCGAGAATGTTTTGTCTGTGGAAGTCGGCGCGATTAGAATGAACGCCATCGTCGACACGCACAGACAGTGCTTGTTTAAAATGATGAATCAAGAGAAATTAATTGAATTAGTTCAGGAATATACATTTCTTTATGATTTAAGTAATCGCAGGTATAGTGACAATCAACGAAAAGATGACGCGTGGAAAGAAATAACAAAAAAACTTCAAGTAAAAGGTAAGTAGAAATGCATTTAAGAAAAAAACATTATTATTGTTTACATTACTCCTGCAGGTAAATCAAAAAACAGAGCAAGTTTGTCTCTGACATCAAAAGCAGTAGATTGACTACTTCCTCCTTGCCTTGATAAGCCTTTCAAATTACTAACTGCTGCATTTTCTCTTGCATGGGCGTTGTTATATTTTATAAAGTTGTGCAGAATACATGTAGTCATAATTACTTTGTCTGCATTTTCGGGTTTCAGCTGGATTCTTCTATTGTATAAACGAAACTTTTGTGCCAATTGTCCAAAAGTATTTTCTACTACCTTTCTTGCACGTGACAATCTGTCATTGAAATTTCTTTTGCACTGCACATGTGTTTGCGGCTGTGGGTAAGGCCGCATTAAATATGTTTTTAAAGAAAATGCTTCATCTCCTATAATGACCTGCAGCATTAGTATTTCAGTACCAGGTAGATATTTTTCTTCTGGTACATTTAAAGTATCCGCCGATAAAGCTTTTCCAGTGATTGAATTAGAGAATATTCCTCCGTCACTATTTTTGCCTATATCCACACATAAATTTATAGTTGGCATCAACGATCGCCATCAGTACAATTGAGAAAGTTTTTTTATAGTTAAAATAAAGAGATCCACTGTTAGCTGGAGCCGTTATGACGAGTGTTTGCCATCGATGGAACCAAAGCAATTGGAAAAGTTCCATACGTGCCAAAATTCCTCTGATATCTTTAACCATTTCTTTTGGGAGGTGTTGGCATGCATTCTTCTGTCATTTCTTGTATGATAGCAGTACATACTTCTACAATTATATTATGCACAGTGCTCACACCAAGTCGATAACTGTACACTATAGTTAGGTAGGAGTTTCCGGTTGCCAAAAATCTGCAATAAAATTAAACAAGTCAATTTTTGTTTCAAATTGCGACTGCAAGAAAACATGGGCTTTACTACGTGATGCATTCCGACGTGCCATAAAAAAGCGAAAATAACTAAAAGTAGACAAGCTAGTGTATCTAGGAAAAAATGGAAATATGAAGACGAGATGTCTTTTTTGTTGCCGTATTTCAAGGAGAGACCCATTATTGGCAATGTTCCAGCTAACCATTTAGACAAAAATAGTAATGCTGAAGAAAATTGTTCTGATGAAGATAATCAAGCAAGGTCGTCTTCTCCTGAAGCTATAATAGCACACTCCATTCCACCTCCAAAGCGGCCAAATATTACCGAAGCAACTGTGACCCAGCCATCTACCTCTAAAACGATGCATTCAATTTCAGAATCTTCACAAAACTATGCGCCAGTGAAAACAGGACTAAAATTTACAAAGAAATAATTTCGCGACCTATTTCCAGTGAGACTTCTTCAAACACGTTAATGAAATTTATATTAGAAAATAAAGCGAAGATTAATGTCATTCAGCAATTTTTTGATAGTATCGCTACCACAGTTCAGTCATTCCATCCACGAGATAGAGCAATAGCAAAAACTAAAGTATTTAGAGTAATATCAAAAATGCAGCTAGACATTCTAGGTAGAGATTTAAGTACCCATTCTGAATATGTAGGTTCGCCTGCATCGTATGAAACGCAAATACTAGAACAACGAAACGATTTCTATAACACACCATCACCACATTCGCCCTCACCTGGATCAGTACAATGGAACAACATTTCTAATATGAGTCAGGACTACAAGGGGTTGACAATATCCAAGAACCAGAAATACGACGACAGGACAACATACAAGAAACAACACCTGAATACTCATTACAACATTATTTTACTACATATGTCCCAGAATAAAACAAATTTTGTTATATCTATAATAAGTTTACCTGAACCAAATTTTGTACCAAAATCGAGAAAAGGATAGTTGCAAGTACTCTTAGTTTTGTAGAATTTAAATATCTACATGAACAATAAGGATTTTACCTCAAACAAACGGCTACTTTTTCTCTAGGCGATAAAGACTCCTTGAACTTTGTGTCTTGCTTAGTTATCATTGGTTTAATTTTAGTTACAATGGTCTCGAACTCATATATACTCATCCTAAAATATTTCAAAAATCTGTCCTCATCGTCCACGAGTTCCTTGAATAATGTATAAAATTCTCCTTCTTTTTTTCGTTTTACATTTATGGGATGAACAGCAAACCTCCTTTTTTTAGTTGCTTTTCTACACAACCTGATTCTTCTTCTTCTAGTAAAATTGCCATCACGACTAGTTCTTCTATCGAAAATTTTCGGAACATGGTACGCGCGTACATTTCCTACTATGCCTGAAGGCGTCTGTGCATGCTGGGTTGTAGATGTGAAAACTATTGTCTGTGCCGTGTCTGCCACGTTACGTGCTGGCCACACTACGTGCCTGTAGATATGAATAAAGCTTAATAGTCTTCTTCAGAAATGGTACATAAAGAGAACATGTTACAAGAGGAAAACGGAGAGGACAAAGCAGTCTTACGAGGCTTACAAGATTACAGAAAAGCGGCTAAAGAAGTAGTCAAAAAGATGTATTTTAAGGGAATCTTCAATGTCTATAGCAGGGGTGTCCAACCCGTGGCCCAAGGCAAGTTCCAATGCGGCCCAATAAACGTGTAAACAAAACCGACAAATTCTTTTATTTTTTTTTATTTACTTATTTCAACGGCATAAACTCAAAAAAGAAATTTCACAAAGCTGTAAACTTTTATACATATTTTATTTCTGAGTGAAAAGGAAATATTTTCAAATACTTGGAGATGTGTGAATGACGAAGGAATACTAAATAAAGCTGAAGTTGTGACTCAAAGGATTATAGACCCAAATTTGAGAAAAGGAGAGAAAGGCCAAAAGATAAAAAGTAGTGAGGAAGGTTGGAAAATTAAGGGTCAATATTTGCATAACAGAAGGTCTATTTAACCTTTCTCACTACTTTTTATCTTTTGGCCTTCCTCTCCTTTTCTCAAATTTTGGTCTATAATCCTTTGAGTTCAAACTCCAGCATTATTTAATATTCTTTCCAGCATTGAAAGACCATTGAAAGATTTGGCTACCCTTTTTTCAGTTTGGCGTAAAAATTATCATTTCGCGCGTTGGCTACTTTCTGGGCTACATATTATTTATAAATATATTAGTCGAATAAAAATGCACTTTAAAATGGTGTTTCGTCGTTTTTTTATTAATTAGAGACCCAAATAAAACAAATATTTGTTTTTCAAAAAAATTTTTGTTTGTTTCCTTTATAATAAATGAATTTATTTATCTCTAAGTAAAAATTGAAAGGGTCTGTAGAAGTAATTTTTTAAATTATCCTTGTTCGTGATAAAGTTATAAAGTTTTAATACTTACTACTATAATCTAGACATGCTAATTCTTAAATATACTTGTATATTTAAGGATTGGGTCACAAATATTATATATACTTGTGGCCCAAAACTCCATGACTTCTTTTAATGTGGCCCAGTAGAACAAAAAGGTTGGACACCCCTGATCTATAGAATGTCTCTTAGATTGTGTACCAACAAGGATCCTTATTATGTATGCTTAATTGTCAATCTGAAATATAAGAAGAGAGTAAACATGGTTATGTTGCAGCCAAATATGACAACGACTTGCCTAACCTACATATTTTGATTTATATGTAAAAGCTAACTTAAAGTGAGTACTTTAAGTTAACTTTTATTATTTTTAATTTAATTTAATCTATTCTCATTTTATTGTTAGCAAATTTTTATAACTGCAGTATTATGAAGACCTGATCTTATCACATTATAATAGGAAAAACATTCCAAATAAATTCACAACAGGTGTGAGTTAGAAAGTTCGGACTATGTACGAAAAATTTTTTTTTGAATTTTTGAGTCTATCTATCAATCCATTAACACAACCACAGAAGTACCCGTAACATTGTTGAAGAAAACCTTCAATAAAAACAAATAATGAATAGGTAAAAAACTCACAATATTAAAAAAAGATAGACTCAAAAATTCAAAAAAAAATTTTCGTACATAGTCTGAACTTTCTAATTGCAAGAATATATCCTGAGTTCACCATGGAAAGGTGTGAGTTATTTTATCTGGTTACAACTTTTAAGTAAAAAGCCTTTTTCCTGTTATTGTTTTATTCTTTGGGCTTTGTAAGCCATTTGCATTATTGTCAATGCTTGCCCTATGCGTGTCACAGCATATAATTTGGTTTTAGAAGTGCAGCTAGTAAACACATTATATAGAAAATAGTAAAAACTGTCACAACTAGCTTCGCCCTCCTCAATTTTGTTCAGAATACAGAAATATACTCATTATTATCGTCTATTGTGCAATTAAAAATTTTAAAAAGTTTACCAAATTTAATATGATTTTTTTTAAATTATTGTTTAATACAGTACACTCTATTATTTTTACCAAGTTAAAATTAAGGCGGTAAAATTAAGATTTTATGATTTTAGACTAGTTTAAGAATAAAATATCATATAAACGATAAATTGCAAAATTTTAAAATTCTATATCTTTTATAGATGGAGAAAGAAAAGATTCTCTTACTTTGTCAATTTAGGGATTCCTGGACCAAAACCGAAATTCTTTTCTGGAAATATGGGTGACATTATAAATAAGGTAAAAGGATTTTTTAAAAATAATATAAGTTTTTCCCTTTTTTCTGCTCTGTGAGAACATTTTATCTTATCCATCATGGATTAGGTCAGGCCTATAACAGTGGCTACCAGACCACCTATGAGAAATTCCTGAAGTTGCTCGTTCGAATTGATTTTCGGTCTCTGAAAACTATTAATTAATAGACTGAGATTTTAAAACAACCTCGATCATTCGGTCGTCAATTTATGTCTCTCTCAATAGTAAAAGCGACCACTAGTGAAGCGCTCACTAGTTGTCCTCCACATTCATGGTTCTTAATCCGTGGTCCTTGAAGAAACTTCACGGAACACGTGTGCTCCGTGAAATTACTTCAAGTATTCCGCGAAAAAATCAAATATAGACTACAATTAAAAATTGTTTCAAAAGAAAAATCAATACATTGTAAAATAATTTTTTATGGGAATGTAATCAGCCAATGCCAATGATTTCGTGTACTAGACCGAGTGCGCTCTTGATTTCAAAAAGGTTTGCCACCCCTGCTTTAAAGCTGATGTATTGAAAAATGTCAAAGTTTAGTGTTCCCCGACTTCAAAAAAATTGAGAACCACGGCTTCACATAATACGACGGTCGTCCGTCTTTAAACAGAATCGGGATTTGTCCTATGCATAAAACTTAACTAACGGCTCAGTTACCGAGTTTCTCTGATGTCACTATTTGCACTCATCGACAACGAAGGAGTTATTTCGTATGCATAAAAGTACAAAGTTAAACTGATAAGTTTGACGTCATTAGCAAGTGCTGTTCCATTAAAATCGATAGTACTCCCACTATTCTGACATTTAAACCAATAAGAGAAAGGATTTCAAGATAACAGAGAGGTTAAAATTTAGAATTTTTGAGTTTTACTGTATCTTCTTTTATGTGCTTTTCAACCAGAAGTGCCGAAGAGGTGCTCTCCATATTTACGTATAGCGCCATATTGAAGATATTCAAAATATTAAAATTAATTTTTTTATTACGTTATATTCGAGATTTTATTTCTAGTGTTCGAGTATTCGCGGATAGTATTTACCTATTTCTACTAAAAACATTTTTGGCAGTCTTTTTAAAACATTTGCTTCAAGAGTATTTACAAATAAATTATTAATTTATGAATAATTATTAAAATATAAATATTTAATAAGTTGTTATTTATAATTTTAGGGAGTTGCAAAATGTCATTACGATTGGATTAAGAAGTATGGAAATGTTGTTGGGTAAGAAATGATGATTTAATATTTTTAGAATTTGTGTAAAATTTGGAATTACTATAAATAGGAAACTCTGATTATGATGTTTGTAGTTATTTCCAGGGCTCCAGGCCTGTTTTGCTAGTCTCCGATTTGGAATTCTTGAAGTATTTTATGGTTGTAAACTATATGAATGCATCTGGAAGAGAGGTATCGGTGAATAATTTAATTAACTGAGTAAGAAAAATTATTTTTAATACTAAGAATAATTTTAATAAAGTTTATAATTTGAATTTTTTTAGTGGTTTATCGAAGATGGTGGAATACCATTGAAGGCATTCAGGGAAACATCAATTGGAAGTGTTAGTGGAATGTATTGGAAAGAACTTCACAATTTAATGTCTTCAGCTTTCACTAGCAGAAAACTGAAAGGAGTAATTCTACAAATAAAAGCAAATTTCTGTTGTCAATTTGAGAATTTCAATAATCAAATATATTCTATTTTAGATGATACCAATATTGGAAAAATCTATTACTCGTGTCTTAATGAAGATAGAGAAGAAAATTGAAAATAAAGAATTTGTTCCGATGAAAACATTATTTAGCCAATTATGTTTCGACAATACAATGACAAATATGTTTGGAATAGAAAAGGATGAATCAGAAATGTACAGAAAGTTTCACGAAGACATTCAACAACTAGCAAATATACCTCAGAAAGATATAATTATAGCTCTTGCTTGTAAGTCATAATTTTCTTTTCGTATCATTAATTAATTAATTTTTAAAATTCTTACTTTTATTTAGAAAGATAAAAAATGAAACTATTTATTAAAATTCCAAAATTAATTATAAATTTTTATTATTTTTCTTAAAATTGTCTTCTTGTCAATACTTGGAACGAATTAATAAACATATTCAACAAAACCTTTAACATCCAGTAACGAAAATTTTAATTTAAAAACTGACGAACTTTTTCGATCTTTATTTTCGAATTTTAATCTTAAACAAGATTTGCATCAAGTCAACAACGATATTCCAAATTGAAATGAGTAGAATTTTTCAAACATTTTTAAATAAATAGAGCAAAAACATAGCGATGTAAATCAAACATACTTTTTTTACATTAAAATTTTCATTACTGGATTCTTTCGTTAACAAAACAAACATAAATACAGGAATTAACAAACACAGAAAAAACATACTTAAACATTAAAAAAATTTCGTAGAAAAGACTAAAATGTCTTTATTTTCGTCATGTCAAATCACCAAGAACAATAGACTACTATTGCAAAGACGACCTTTAACTAGAGGCTACGCTTCTGCAAAACCATACAAAACAGTCTAAAAAGTTCACAGGTGACGAGCCAACGATTAATTAAAAAATACATATTGATGATGTGACATGACGAAAGAGAAGACGTTTTTAGTCTTTTCTACGGAATTTTTTTTAATGTTTAAATTCGTCAGCCATTTTTTGTTTTAAATTATATATTAAAACCTTTATAACCAGTAGCCGAATATAATTTTGAGAACGCCTGCAAAAAATTTTTGGGGCCTCATAAATCTAAGAAAAGTGAAAATCATAAATATTTCAAGTACTTTTTTATATCGTACAAAAACTTTATTTGATGATTTTTATATTATTTCTGAAACATTAATATAAATTTAAAAAATCTAAGCAGCGCGAGTTCCAACCTTTAATGGTTCACGCCATTATTCTCTCTTTCAGATCTTTAGGTCACTAAATACTTATTATTTTAAACGATTTAGATATATTTGCTTTTTCACGTTACTTAAATAAATAAATACATTATATATATAAAACCGAGTAAGATACAATCCACTAATTTTACTATAATAATAATTGAAGCGAAGCGAGCAAGCTTTCTTTGCAGCAAATCAAATTGACAAATCGCTGAAACACGTTTTGCGAAGTAATGACTTGACCGATTTAAGAAAAAAAAAACATTTTCACATTAATAAAACTAATAAAATAACAATGATTCCAAAGTTTTTCGAGCTACCGCTCTCATGATTCCATAAAGTTATACCCAACGCCCCTAACCCAATTTCCGTTGTTTGAGAAAGGTTTGGAAATATTCTTAGAAAAACTTTTCTATGACACACTTTGTGTTTTTACCTACATTGTTCTCCACATCTGGAAACCATTAAATGTAATGCTTCTTCTTACCCTTTGTAAAAGAAGAAAGGAAAACGTTGCCAGTGACCCCAACCTTTATCTATGGTCACTGTTCAGTACTCTGCATCCAGCGCCCCCTCAATCTCGCATGATGTGGCTTTTCTTAAAAGTGTCGTCTTTTGAAATGTAGTTTCTTCTATTTATTGCCTGATTTTGCATATGACGATCGTAAACCCTTCTGTCTCTCCAAAGAAACTTCCTGACCTAGCTAAATTTGATGCAGTTCTAAGTTTGATTCATAGACGAGACGTTAAGATTTCTACCCTGGACTCTTTGATCGAGGATTTATTCCACGATCAAAGAGGATCATTCCATTTTAACCATTAGGCATACTAAACACTTGCCGAAGACATGTGAAATGAAACTATCCGCGGCCCGAGATGTAGGAATAAAGGACTAATAGTGTTTACAAAAATAGGGCTAAATACTGCGATCTAGTATCTACTGGACTTTGGTCATACTGCTAGCTATAGAGGCAGTGAAGCGTCATAGGAGACCCGAAATACCGAAAGCCTGTAGGTTAGTGGGCCCGGCTTTAGGTTAATACAGCCCTGACGATTTCTGTGTATTTTGTATATTGTGTTACATTTAATTCTGTATTTAATATAATTTTTTGTCTGCAAACGTTACAGTTTTCTATAATTCTGATGTTTGTTTTCTATAAAAATATTCTCATAAAAAAGAGAGGACGAGGCGTCCATTTTTACGAGGAAGGGTCAGTCATTCAACAGAATACTTAGGGTGGTATTTGGAATGTTTTGTTAATGTTCGTGGTTTATTTTCTATAATAACTTTGTGTGCATTCAATGTGTACTTTCAAATAAATATTTCACTACTGGGACGAAATTTATGTCGATTGCTTTAAATGTGCGTTTTACATTAAGCTATGTTGTTAGTATTTTGTTTAATCTGTTATGTTTTGTTCGTCTGTTTTATTTGTGAATGTTCTGATGTTGTCTTGATAAATCCTAAATATTTGTAGTCTTCCCCAGCGATTCAATGATGTCTCCATTTTCGAGTATAAAATCATCTTTCTTCAAGATTCCTTTCTCTACGTAAAGTTAAAGTGTTCTGCATTTGTCTAGGCAAAATTCTATTTGAATATTAGTGGAGTAAATGTAACATGTAATATGTGACTAGCTATGCTATGTAGCATAGCTAACTCATATAATATATTAATATATCTGCATATACAGTATATTTTCAAATTGGAGGGCCAAAAATATTTTGTTTAGAGTTTCTAGATGTGTTAATCTTTCATGTTTTTAGTTTGCTGATTTTAATTTGTATAATTTTATTTTGTTATACTCAAAATACTTATTGTTATGTCAAAACAGTACTAAATCAACAAGTAAACATGTTTATTGAAGCAGAATGGAATAAGTACAATCACCATTTGTTGAATTTTTAATGTCATGAAAACCTAATAATTTGCTAATTTTATTATGAAATGTAATAAAATTGCTTATCATAAGTAATATAAACAATTTACATAGATGCTATTTAAGAAATAATTTGAAGTAAAATAAAATTGAAATGTTTACATTCAGTTATTTTGCTAATCAAATATGACAGTTAAGATCATGTGAGTACTTCTCCAAATAAAAACAGCAACAAATGTGATGATTTACACTTATTTCTATTTTTATTTTACTCTTACTAATATATTTTTTGGTCATGTATTATAATTTTTCTTATCATTATAATATATGCATTCTCTAAATTTAAGCATCTGTTATTTAATTAACTATAACGCTTCAATTAACTATATACGAACTTCTGGTATGCACCAGAAGTCACGTGATTTTTTTAATTAAAATCTGATAGAAAATTGTCCCTCCGGGGATTGTGACGATGGCACAATAATATATACTCAATTTTTAATTTTTAATTTCAGTATGTTTTCCGGAATTTTCAACTGTTTTTACGTTGATAAGAGAAGCTAAGGATAAGATTTCATATTATTTAGGAAAACCTTCATGCTTTGGAGCTTATAAGAATTTATTAAATGTGCTTCGTCTGAGAAGATCAAATCCTCAAGTTAGTATCTAATTATACTATAAGTGATATCTATAACAGATATTTTAATTACTTAAATATATATTAATTTTTGTACAGGTTATACATAACATTTCTTAAACATTAAGAGATTTTAATCTTGATTAGTTGTTAATTAATAATAAAAATTATATTCAGAAACTATTTTATCTAGTAATACTATATTCTACATACTATCTCGATGCTTAACTTGGTTTATCCGATAGTTTTACTGATTAATTAGTAGATTTGACGTGAAAATGAAATAAAATGCTAGAAAGGTATATGCTGAAAGACACTTTTACAAGATTTATATAACTTCTTTGTATACATAAAAGATTTTTTCAGAAAGCAATCTTTCTTGTTCAAACTTTCCTATTGAAAGCCAAATGGAGATATAGTAACTTTCGGAGATCATACATGATTGGAAGAGACATAAATGGAAAAAAAATTGTTAGTAATTATCTCAAAGTTTAAATTAAAAAAATTTTTTTTCGGATAGAAATTTTTTCGTTTTAGTTGTTACTATAAAAGATAATTACTTCAAGAATAAAAATATTTTCACTAAATTTGTTATATTTAATTCTCTTTAAAATATACGCCCTATATCTTATAAAAAATAATTTAAAATGAAATAATAATTCAAGTCAAAATATTTTTATAATTTACTGTAACTTTAAACTGAAATAATTGATACAATTAATCTGAATTATCTTTAGTAAAGTAAACTGAGAAAACTTGAAACAAGTTTCTATGTTTTATTTTATTATTTAAATAAATTATACATTATAAAACTATTCCATATTTTGATTTTCTCTTTTCTTTCTCTTTACTCTTTACATTTACTCTTCTTTCAAACTTCTATAAAAGTTACTTACCACCTCATTCCATCGATCTATCTTAGTAGCATAGCTATATCTTGCTTTATACTTCTATCCTGCTATTATTATAAACTTAATGTTATAAGTTAAATTTCTTAATTTCTATTTTTCATTTAAATTTTATATTCCAAAATATTCTAGATTCAACGGGATGATTTCGTACAACTTTTAATGAAAGCTGGAACTGAGAATGAAAGTGAAAATGAAAATAATAGTGAGTAATTGTATAGTTTTATTTCTGGCATAAAAATTTACGAATTAAATTTAAATAGATATTATATTATTCCGCTTTTTTAATTAGGCTAAATTTGAAACGATAGAAAATTAGACTTTTAAATTTTTATAAATTTTATAAAAATATACAGGACGCTTCAAAAAAGTTCTCAAAAATATTTACTACCCTTGCTGCAATGACTGCTCATCTGCTCGATATAAGATGATTGAGGTAAAGCCTCGCCACTTAATCGTTTCATGATCGATTTGAAAACGAGTTTAAACAGATCTGGAGACACATTTCTGTAGTATGTCATTTCCACTTTCAATTTGAATTGAGTAAACATGATCACGAATGTTTTGTTTCTCAGAACATAAGAAATAACATGGGAAAGCAGTTCAGTTTTCACCCGAACTGTCAGTTTTTCATTCAGTATGTGACAAACTTGGCATATGTCTAAATCTGGCCACGTTGACCAGTTTTAAAGTTAATGAAGAAAGATCTAATTAACTAAACTGTTTAGAACTACAACTTCTAAATACTTAAGCTCATTTTATATTCGACAAATCAGCAACATTGTCTAAAGTTACTTGCATTTAATCAGAAAAAAAATAAATTGGCGAAATATGAGCATTCATATCTTAGAGTAACTTATTCCAGCATTTTTTTTCAAGAAAACAAAAGAAACTTAAGAAAGTGACTTAAGTTTACAAGTTCGGTTGATGAGTCAGCCACTATATCATATATTTCATACAGTATCTGTTAAATCTAGCCGAGCCAGGCTTGTCTGAAAATGTACGGTCAAGTCAATTTGAATGCATCCAATTAACTTAAGACTAAATTCACATAAATATTTTCAGAATTTAAGAGTTAAATGATGTTTACGCTGGCTTCTGAAGCATTAAGTGATTGCATGATGGCATGGTCCTTAACTCACATTTTGCAGCTTTTCTGTCTGGTTTCAGCTTAATAAAAACGATTTCTCTTGTGAACTCGAACTTATTATTTTATTCCCATTCTTGTAGAAAACAGCGATATAAAATATTCTTTTTGTTCGAATGACTGGAAAAAGAGAAAGGAAATGTGTTAAGAGATATAGAATTCGGGTGAGTTACTCGTAAATGATAGAAAACGAAAACAAGGATATCTAACTCAAACTCTGTTATACGTAAGAAAAGTCAAATCGCAGAGTTAAACCTATTAGTCACAGCTGCAACCTCCACAAACGAGAAAGGAAACACATTTTTCTTCCAATTACGGGCTATCAACAAACGTGATTCTAATTTGTAAACTATATGTCTCTGTGTCTGCCACCACTATTCCCGTTCGGCTACATCCTCTCGCGTCATCCTGACAGAAACGTGAGGGCCGAAAGTAACCTTACCCTTTATCTTTAATATATGGGTGTTTTTCCAACAAAGCATTGGTACTTGCTCATACTTAGCAAAAATAGTACTTTTCGTGGTAAGTTTGCCAGACGTGGTGAGAAATATTTGCGTGAAACTTACTGCTGCTCGTTAGATGAAACATTTTTTAGTAAGGCTTCAGGACGTAATAAAAAGTGCGTACACTACATTAACTGATACTTGCATATCATTATACAAAAGCATGATAACTGGCAAGGTTTTTACCTCAATTACCTTAAAAGTACAGTAAATAGGTGATCGGTTAACAAACAATTCGGATAGCGAACATGGTTTTGGAACGGATTGTGTTCGTTATCCGATCACCCTTTGTATCAACATTTTTTAAGGTTCTCTGTGAGCCTATAATTATTTTCTTTAATAAATGTGTTATATTTCATTAATAGTGTGTCGAATTGCATGTGATTGCAATTTGTAATGACTTATTCTGGTGCGTTTTTAAAATTAGGTACGAAGCAAAGGACATTAACGACGGATGAGATTCTTATAAATATGATGAGTTTTACTTTTGGAAGGTAATTTAACTATTTGTTATTAAACATATTCATTATAATATACAATTTAAAATAATAACTTTTTATTAATGTGCAAATGTTATGCATTTGGTATATGTATGAAATGTTACAAATTAATCGTTTATAACTGAAAATGATAAGATCCGAATCACAATTTAGATTTAAGATAATATAAAAAATATTTTCCCAAATATCTTTAAGAATGTTTAGCTTAATGCAATGATTGTTTTAATAACAACAAATTCATATTAAAGATAATATAACAGATAATTTATTTTATAAATTTAATTTTTATAATATTAGAAAATTTAAATATAATTAATTGTTTATTATAGTCCATATAGGAGGGTTAAAACTGATTGTAATCTCTTTGTTAGTGTGATCAGATTACCCGATTTCCGGGGATTGTCCCCAGTTTTGCCTGTTTTAATAATTGAGCTCTAATTTGAAAAAAATTATAGATAATTTGTCCCACTGTCGTCCGTCCGTCCGTCCGTCCGTCTGCCTGTCCTTAATATTGAGAATGGAGTTATATAGATGAATTACGAGACCAGATATGGAAACCTTAGTTGTAGGAGGCTCTGATTAATTATATATAGACTATCGATACGAACCGAAAGTTATGTTATTTCAATTCAAATATTTCCTCTGAAAGCAATTAATAGATGACCTGCACGACTCTATTGTTAAAAGAAAAGTATGATGTGCAGAGGCAAAACATTACTAATAATTTGAGGCAGAGAGCATATATTTTAAATTAAATAAATTAAAAATATAATTAAAAATTGCAGCTTGGTAATGTGGTGATGTCACAATAAATAATTGCTCGTTGATTATATAATCGATCTTTGAATAAAGCAATTTGATTAACATACCGATATAATATTGCCAATTTATAGATCAATAAACAATATTAATTTATAATTGTTCTTATTAAATTGTAGGGATATATTAAATTTGTTTAGATAAATAAAGATGATTTTGCTTGAACGTCATCTGTCGGAGAGACGTTCAAACAAAAACAAGCTGCAAACTGTTTCAAAACTATAGCAGGAAAAGGAAAACTCAATTTCATTTTATAGCTTATTAAACTATACACACGGCTTAAAAACGTTGAGTTGAGGCCTGTTCTGTTAACCACGTAAACGGGGTTAAATGTCACTTTTGGTCAATCTATCTTCATTATTTTAGTTAGACGGCCAAAGTTTTACTGTATTTTCTTAATATACATTATACACTCGATCCCCCTATAAGATCATTGATTTTTCCGTTTTATCTGAATTACATGTTGTACGAGTCACTTAGATTTTACAAATATGTGAGCCGTTCACAGCCCGGCACACGTATTTGTAAAATCTAAGTGACTCGTACAACATGTAATTCAGATAAAACGGAAAAATCAATGATCTTATAGGGGGATCGACTGTATGTTGCTAACTAAATAATAATGGAACCATTACTCGTCCTTGGAATTTGTTATGTATGCAAAGCAGAAAAAATTTAATATTATATAAACATATTTGGTTTTTCAGTTATGAAACAGTAATCTCGGCATTAACATTCGCTTTGTATATGATGGTAAAACATCCCGAAATCCAAGACAAAGTTAGAAAAGAGCTGAACTTATTAAACACGAATAAGGTAAAAATTATTCAAATATCATTTTCTCAATTTTATGAATGCTTATTTTTACTTTACTTTTTACTTACTTTTACTTCTGTAGTTTTCGCCTACTTAACTATTAATACAATTGCAAAGTATTGTTATTAGCATAAAGTTAACATCGTTTTATTTCAAAATATCCCATTAAAAACTGGTAAAACTAGATTGAAAAAGTAGAGCTCATAAAAAACATCTAAATAAAGAAATCTTTTGAAAGTTGTGGCATAAGAATAGTGGAAGCAGATCTGACAATAAGATTCAATCAGTGAATAAAATGCACTTTACCCAGAGGAAGTTTTGGATGAAGTGATGCCATAATGATAGTAAATCGAAAAAATAAGCATCGTCACAGAAAAAGGCTTTGAGCTTTACTTTTTCTAGTGCATTTTATTCACTGATTGAATCTTATTGTCAGATCTGCTTCCACTATTGTTATGCCACAACTTTCAAAAGGTTTCTTTATTTAGATGTTTTTTTCTGAGCTCTACTTTATCAATCTGGTTTTACCAGTTTTTTATGGAATTTCAAATGTTTTTCAGTCATCAATGACTTCATAAGAGAAGAGTTTTCATGATAACTCTATATTCATTTAACAGTCATGTGATAGCCGGATGATTTTTCTCGGTGTCCTAGAGTATAAGTATGAAAACTTTGGTGCAGATCGGACAAAGGGTTTAGACGTTAATAAGGGTAAAATCACGGCGAAAATATTAATTAATAGATTAAAAATATTCGATGAACATCATTGTCATGTAATAGCCAGTCGACCAATGAAACGTTAATATTTTAAAAATGGGCTATAATTTTATAAATACTCAACGTATTAAAATAAAACACTCAAAAGGACCACAAAAGAGGTGGTCAGCTCTTGTAAGAGCTATTAAGCATACGCAGACTCCTAGATTTTCCGGTAGCTCGGTATCGCGAAAATCTCTCTCGTAAATCTAGTGCAAAATGCTAAATTTGGTATTTCATAAGTTCAGAACGATCCAACGAATTTCTTCAAAATTTAAGGCTTTCGGAGTTCTCATCTCAGACACTAAATACTTTAAATTTCATACAATTCGGTTCATTAGTCTAGGAGTTCATATCGATTAAATTTGGCACTTTAATATTAAACGTGTAGCTGAGCTATAAATAATTTATGAAAAGCTGTAATCAAGTTTTCATTTGTGCTAAAATAAGCAAAGGGATCACCACGAAAGACATAATTGTTCATTATTACCAATGTAAATAATTCTATATATTGTGAAATGTATGGATGGATAATCACTCAGCACAGCTCTAAAAATTGTATTATGTCGTGGTCTACAGCCGTTTCATTCCCACAAGTTAGTTGAAGTTTCGGATATCTCTAGCATTTGTGAAAGTCCAAATTACTCACATAGTACTTAATATCTGAAAGACATTGATTGCTATATTTAAAGTTTGATGTAATTTGAATTATTATAAACTTTACATTTTAATTTTACAGGCAGAAGTGGAAAATTCTTTTTTGTGTGGAATTCCTTATCTCGATCAAGTCATTCTCGAAACTACCAGATATTACACTTTAATTCGATTGTAAGTGTTTATTTCACAAATTAATTTAATATTATTATATTAAGCTTTGACAACGATAAGCATCTAATTGTTTTTGTTATTACAGTCTGCCAATATTTCAGCAAAGGATTGTAGAAAATATTACAAACTTTTTAAGACATAGTTTACACTTGTTAAAATTTCAAAAAACATTTCTTAAATGTCACACAAATTAGAAAATGATCAAATAGATTTCAAAATTTTTTGAAAGGATTGCATTGTTACCGGAAGCATTGAAAAACGGAATCTATTGTTAGGAAAATTATGGCAACTTTAAGAAATAATTCTTATTGTGCTACCTAGAAAGCTGAATGGGTTAAGACTGACTTGAGAGATATCCACCATTACCCAGGCAAAAATATAATAAAGACAAACATTAAATTAAAATCATATTTAGTTTATTTTTAGTTCGGGAAGCACCGGATATTTCTGCTAAATATGGCTATAAAATTAGTTTTTTTTTTAATTCTGTATTATTTTATTTTTATTTAAATACTTTCCAGAAATTCTCGAATTTTGTCAGAATTCATTCGTAGCTCGATAAAGAATTTTTCTTTGTAAGAACAAAACTTTTCATAGGAAGAATTTATCATTAAATAACTTAAATAATTTTGATTTTCATTTGTGTAGTTTGTTAAATCGAAAAGTAACAGGAGAAATTAAATGGAATTCAATAACGTTACCAAAGAATTTGGTTCTACAAGTGGCTGCCTATCAACTGCATCACGATCCTGCATATTGGGAAAATCCTGAAACGTTTGATCCGGATCGGTAAGTATATTAATAAAATGCATTAATATAAGTTCTATTTTCTATTATGTATTTTAATATAAATTCTGTTTCATGTAATACATTTTAGATTTTCAGTAGAAAACAAACAAAAGATAAATCCAATAGTTTTCCAAGGCTTTGGATACGGTCCTAGAACCTGCATTGGAATGCGATTTGCTTATCTCTCCATAAGACAGATATTCACACATCTTTTAACCAAATATAAATTCGAAATATGTGAAGAAACGGTAAGTAATGAATATAAAATGGTATTACTTAATTATGTTTGCAGTTGTGTAATACACAATTCTCCACTGCTGAGAAAAATATGAGTTTTAACTTTGATCAAATTATGACTTATAAATAATTCCGTTCAGAGTTTCATATTCCTGATAATTGTATTGCTATTGAGTCAGTTTTTTATTCCTAATAAGTATTAAATAAAAATAAATTAGTAAATGATTTTGGGAACAAAATTTTCATTATTAAATAAAAAATCGCAGAACGCAGTTATATAATAGTACAACAGTAGTAGGAACATAAAATTACTCATATTACGAATAAAATCACATCAACCTTAACAAAAGAAAAACAAAATACAGTAAATATTACACAGGAGATGAATTAGAATATTACGAATTTTTTAGTAATTTAATTTAATAATAGAGACAAAATAATATAAATAGTACTTATATGAACAAATGCCCAATATAAAATTTTTTTAGAGTTTTGCTTTTCTTGCTTTTAGTGAAACAAATTCATCAATTATTTTATCAAAATTAATTATTTCTGTAAATTTCTGTTGGATTGGTAAAATTGCCATATTTGACTATTTTTCCCGAGCAAGTGACGATCTTAAATATGTTTTGATAACTTTTAGCTTACTAAAACCTCTTTTACCAGAAGCTACAGTAAAAAGTAGTGTTAGGAGTATGCTCAGTGCAAATTCTAAATTTTGATAGGACTGTACTAAATTATACAAGGGTTTTGCAAAAAGTTCCTGAACTTTATTTATTACAAAAAAAAAATACTTCACTTACAATTTATTCGTCAGGGTCCCCTTCAAAGTAGTCCCCTTCCCAACGTATACACTTATCCTAACGGTGTTTCCACTTTTTGAAACAGTCCTGGAACGCTTTTTCCGGAATGCTCATAAGCTGCTCCTCTTGGTTTTTCCCCTATCTCTGGAATGGTGGCAAATCTTTTTCCTTGGAGCGTGTTTTTTAGTTTGGGAAACTGGAAAAAGTCGCATGGGGCCAGATGAGTAGGGTGGGTGGGGAGGCACAGCGGTTTTGTTTTTGGCCAAAAACTCACGAGTTCTGAGGGACAAATGAGCCGGCGCGTTGTCGTGGTGAAAAAAACCACTCGCCGTTCCCCCAAAGTTCGGGCCGTTTTCGCCTGATTCTGTCTCTTAAGCGTTTCATAACTCCCAGGTAGTACTCCGTGTTGACTGTCTGTCTTGTAGATATTCGTGATGCACAACCCCCTTTGCATCGAAAAAAAAAAAACAGTCAACATCACCTTAACATTTGAGCAAACTTGTCGAGCTTTCTTGGGGAGGAGGAATGTTTCACCCACCCGTGGGAAGTTTCCGTGAAGGATTTCCCGAGTTTCACACAGAATTTCACAGAACAACGCTGCTCCTTCAAAGAGCTCATTTCCGCAGATCCGATTTTTCGACGAACCCCACAAACACCCTTTCACATAAACGGCCGGAACTAATCATCAAAACAAGATATCAACAAACGGATTGAAGGAGGTTACTCGGGAGGTTTCCGCGGACACAACGCCTTCAAGCGGATTAAAAAATAACCAACTGGAGGCGCAGTATGAAAACAATCCACGTATTCATGAATCGTTTTTAAAAGATTTAAACTTGTAGCTGTTTTAAGAACTGGAATTAATATCATTGCCTGATTTTTGAAGCTGATTATTTTTGATAATAATTGTACAGAATTTATATCGTTTGAATATCTAAGGCAGGGGTGGCCAAAACGTGGCGCATGCGCCAAACTTGGCGCATTGGACGATTACAAGTGGCGCTTCAGTCAGTTCTGTGCAACATTGCCAGATTTGGCTTCTTTGCAATTAAGAATATTACATAGAAAATTAATTCTTTTATAGTCTGTCTTGGCAAGTTCATTTGTTGCACAATTCGTTGCAATCAACTTTACAGATAAAATGAGTGTTCTGCACATAGTAAATTACAGTGTATACATGTATGTTTGTTTTCGATCAGTATGTAGGCGTCTAAATGACAGTGCTAACGTCCTACGATAGTGCTACCGTCCGGACATTGCGGGAATCGGTTGGACTACTGACTTCCTGCGACACCTGTTGACCTTTTTTTTTTTTTGCTTCTACGATTCACGATACATTCGTGATCGTGTACACCACTAATATCGAATACTGTAGAACTATTTTATACAAGTAACTACACCACCACCGCATTTTTCATTACTTGTTCTGTGGCAAATCTGAATTTCGTCTTATGAATTGAAATACCTGATTAAGGGATGGCCGAAATTTTTCTCCGCCCCGG